GGGTTTAAACCTTTGTTAGAAGACATTTGGCTGGAAGTTTTATTTGCCCTGAGAGTGCTTTCTATCTGAATACACAGAAATTTCACTATGCATTTGAAGGCTCATGTTAAAATCACTGTGGCAAAAAACAAATAAAGTAAAAGCAAAACCAAACCAAAACAAAAAATCCCAAGCCCTCCTAAAGCGAGCTGCTTTGAGGATCTTCCCAAATGACCCAGATCTTTAGAGCAAAGTTTTCCTTTGCCTAGAAACTAAGTGGCTTTTCTTTTGCTCATTCAGCTGCTAGTTCTGGGAAAAGCCCAAAGAGAAACATTTAGATTGGAGGGGTCTTTGAGAAGAGGTGACAGTTGACTGATGAGCATCCATAAAATGACAAAGAATAGTTGTGTGGAGCCGGTGCATCACATCGCCTCTCCCTGGGAAACTAATTGCTCTGAATTGTTAATAGTAACATTATTTTTCTGGCAATCATTTCTTTTCAATACTCAAAATCAGCATGAAACAGCTCCTTTGACCGGACATAAAAGTTAAATGTCCCAATGTTGATCAAATTAACTTCAGCTATGTGACAATGGACTATATTTGTGAGAAAATAATGAAGGGCACAAAGGGAAGCTTTATGCTAAGATTTCACAGTTGTAATGTAAAAATGTTTCTGTTGAACTAGGCCAGGGAACATTTCAATAGGAAAACAGAAGAGCACTGTCACTTCCATTAAAAAAAACCACACTCATTTTATGGATCTCAATGCTCAAGATAATTTCAGGAAGTTTAGATGGCTGGCACACCAAGAGCCAGGGATCAGGCTAACACCTCACGTCCTGTCCTTCCCAAACTCTCCTTCCCACTCTTGAAGGGCCCCATCCTGCAGCTTTTTCCTCATTCCCCAGCCAGAGTATTGCATTCATACACCTTTCCCCTTCAAGTGGCTACAGGACATGACTAATATGCCAATATGGTTAATTAATACAAAATATGCACAAGCATTAGTTACAACATATGCATGAAAAATTAAACCAAAATGTAAACTATTTTCCTCCCTTACTCTCACAAATAGCTTATACCCTCCAACTTCAGAAAATACAAAAAAAACAAGTATCATGCAAATAGGGCTAACTGTATATGGGAATTATGCTAAGTGGTCTTTGAAGAAATATTTTCCCCCCACAAAATATAAAACAGATGTTCTTATCTCATTTTAAAGCAAATTCAGTTTTGACTGTAGACTGTGTCTACCTGGAACAATGTAAGTGACTTCTGGGGGCTCAGTTTGGGTTACACTGGTGCTGACAGCAGAGGCTCATTACACACAATTTTCTACATATACACTGTATATGTATTTGTAAAGTTACAAGCAAATATTTGTTTAACAACAGGGTGATTCCAGTCCTCTTGGTGTTCAAAGCAACAATCCGACACCACATCTTCTCCCTTGCTAAATGACAAATATTAAGTGCAATCTGGCTCAGCACATACCAGTGAGCTGCCTTTAAAAGTGCTCTTTCTAGAAATTTAACTAATTTTAATGCTATTAAAGCTAAATCACTCCAGGATTAACTTTATTAAAGCAGAAGCTTTATTAAACCTAGAAGAACAAAACCTTCTCCTCCTCAAACATGCTATTAGGATTACTAAGGTATTTCCCCAGGAGAAAACTTTAGCAAAACTTTGTATCATTCCCCCAATGCTTTTTCCTTGGTTTTCCCCCACCCTCCCCCTGCTCACCAACGCACAGCTTTTTTTGTACGCATTAAAACTTTGTGGCTAAAATAATTTTGGAGATAGCAACTTCCCTGGCAATCTGAACAGTTAAACTGATCTATTTTAGCTTAATTTGCAAACCCTCTTCTGGTTTGCATCCCAAACCCCTGTGGTAGCTGTTGCCCAGATAAAAGGCTGTACATAACTCATGTTTATGAAGATGCAGCGTGAACACAACTGAGCTTTCACTGACTCCCACAGTGACCTAAATCAACTGTGAGAAGGTGTTTGTTTCATTCAGTGAAGGTTTAGCTCAATAAACTGTTTTCCTTCTCAGTATTGTTCATTGGTTTTGAACTGCATCGCTGTTAAATGCTCTTTAGCAGTTTAAAGGCTTTAAAGGAAAAGACTTATCAGTCTCTGTTTTTAACAGCACTAAATCTGCATTATTAGTTCATGCAGATAAGGGGATTTGAAAGCTCAGCTTGAAACCTCTCTCTTTCTGTATTTATCTGACACTGCATAGTTCCAGTAGCTCAGCTGGAAATGTAGATCTATGAAGCTTTAAAGAGAGATTAAAGCCAAGAAAAGAAGTACTTTTCCCCCTATAGCTGCTCTCACTTTCCCTTTTCCTGCTGTCTGAGGGAGTGCTGGGGGACAATGGCCAAAGATGGTTCCCAAAGCCCCTGAATGGGGACACTGTTGGTGGCAGCATTCATTCAAAGTAAGCTTCAGTGTATTGTCCTCCCCAATCAGCAGATCAGAATAGAGTGTGCTGGTGGCTGCCAAAAGGTTAGTCCTGCCGATGAAAGGGGCTTCCCATTATTCACTGGCTACAGAACTCCCCCTTTGTGCCCGCCAGCCCCTCACCGCACTGTGGAGGTCCGGATCTGCGGCTGGCTGCCCCCTCAAAATGAACAATTCATCCACGGCGAGCTTGCTGTGGCACTGTGCTACTCGAAATCGAAGGGCTCCTTTTCTAAGGACGGAGTTGGGGCAGTTTTTGGCAGTGTCACATTTTAATGATATACCATCGTGACATCCCTGACCCACAGCTGACACTAATACTACAGTCTTATTACCTTAACCTTGCCAGGGCATCGTGGGAGGTCCGAAGCCAAAATTAGCTAATGAAGCACACTGTATGCTGCAAGCAAGTGTGCAATAAATAATGCAAAAGGTTTGCACAGGTTTCCCTCATGCAGAGCATTAGAAAAGGAAAAGGGACCAATGGAGCCAAGCAAAAATGAAAAAACCCCACGCTGCTCTATGCAGCAGAACTCAAGAATATGCACCCAGACTGCACCGAGATCCTAATCTTCCCGAGTCCCTGTTCTGTAAATCAGGGATCTTTTATATATATATGCTATCCATACAAACCTTCCAATTGCTGCCAGCATTTTCAAGCAGTTTGAGCTGGTTTTGCAAGTGATACATGAGAAAGGCAATACTGTTTTTTTCCTGCTCACCCTTGGGTCATCCCATTTCTGTTTGGAGAAATTCCTGCTTAGCCCCCTGGGGGAAAGGCAGTCTCTACCATCCCACCTACCCGCCCTTACAGGACAGAAAAGCCACAGAGAGGAAGGAAAGTTGAAAAAGAACATGACTGGAAAGGCATTTAGACGCCACTGCAACATTTCAAAACCTTTTCAGTGAAAAGCTACCTAGGGAAAAATGGCAGGGAGATATTTTGCAGCACATAAACTGCTTTGTTCAGGAGTGTCTGTAACCTCCAGGCTGCTGGCAGAGAGGGCAGGAGAGCAGGCAGCTGCTGTGGGCAGGGGTCCCTTATGGCTGGGCGCGCACAGGGAGCAGACGCCAGGCAGCAGAGGAGCAGCGGCTGCTTTGGGCAGGGGCTGTGCGTGGGGCCAGCCTGTGCTCCCCTCCCCTCGGCCAGCGAGGGGCTGGCCAGCGCTGCGGCCTCAGCCAAAGGCTCTGGGAGCAGCAGGATGGGGCTCAGCACCCCGGCTGGGCTGGGACCCCCATTGCTCGCCCTGGGGAAGGACAGAGGTGACACTGGCCAGTGGCACTGGCCAGGGAACAGCAGCAGTGGTCCCAGGCTCACTGGGGGTCCTGGTAAAGAGTCCTCTGAACCCAGAACCCTGGCTCACGGCCACTGGCTGCTGGACAGCAGGGCTGGGGCAGGAGCAGCACACAAAGTGCTCTGGTTCTGCATTCCTTCCAGCTCAGCAGTTTGTTTTAAGCTCCCCACTATGCCGTGGCTGGCAGTGTGTGCCACGGCTGCTCTGAAGTGACACGTTAAAGCTCTGTTTCTCAGGCAAACATGAAGCTGGCTGGCACCTCCTAAGAGAAATACCTGTTTACTCTGCCAACACACCGATGCCCACACAGAAACATTATTTTCTTACTCAAGAGAAAGCTGTCTTCTTCCTCACTTTATAATTAGGGCAGCTGCACATTTCTGGGTATTTTTGGGACTCCTCTGTATTGTACCACTCATCAGATGAGCCAGCTCTGCAGTGCCACTCGAGCCCACACGGCTGCTAACACCAGTGGTGACTATACACAAATGTTGTGCTGCTGCAGAGATGAGCTGCCTGCTCTACCCAGCTGCTGTGGAGGGACCCACAAGGAGAGGCTGAAAGACCTGGGTTTGTTCAGGTTGCAGAAAAGTTGTCTACATGAGGACTCTGTTGCTGGCTTTACCTGTTTGGTAGTTACAGAGAGGAAAAAGCCAGACTTTGCTCAGCAGTGCATGCCAAAAGATTCAGGTGATGGACACAAACCACTTTGAGGAAAATTCTGTCTGGATAATAGGGACAGAAAGTTTCACAGCAAGGGTTGTCAAACACAGCAATGTGTGGCCCAGAGGAGCTACAAACCACCCTGCTGGAGATACTCAAAGCTCAGCTGGACAAGCTGTTGAAGCCAGCCCTGCTCTGAACAGGGGGATGAATAAGGGAGTTCCAGAGGTTGCTTCCAACTGGACTTATTCTGTTATTCTGTAAGTGAAGATGCACTTGAATGCACTTCATTAGAGCTCACATAGTCTAAAAATAAGCTAATCTACCCAACACATTTAGAAAATAAGTGTGGTTCCTACTCTGCAATTCTGGCAACTTCAGAGTGCTTCCCTGAGATCAATTATTTGGCTTTAAAGAACGAATGTCATAAAGTGATCTGTAACCAGCACTGTCTAGAAAACTCTGGCAAGCAGTAACCACTTTCAGGTGACAGAATAAAACCCTCTACATTTCTGAGTGTGCCGGCTGAAACATCCTTCATTTGCTGCTTATGAACACAGAGATTGAAAGAGGCCAGGAAAGGCTAATACATACCTATCAAGTACATAGCCAAGAGCCTTATGCCGTATTCCTGAGTAAACCGATGGGCTTGTTTCCCAAGCAATTAAATTGGAAGCATCATGGAAAAGATGAATGTTTACCAAGTCAAAGGCACTATGACAAAAAAAGGAAAAAAAATAAATGATTCAGGATAAAAGAAAAAAAAACATTTTTTGCATCAGCAAAGCATTTAACACAGCACTTACTGTATTCACACTTATGTTACCTTAGTACTTACTCACAAGAACTGTGCAGATTAGGCTATCATAAACAGAAAATTGTCAGATTGCCATCAAGCTTACAGCTCATCCACAGGCAAGACTCCATCAAGTCTTTTGCATAAAGGATGTATAACATGAAAATAAAAAGCTATTTGCCAGTTACAATTCCAGAAATCAGGCAGTACCCTTTCACTAAAATATTTTTAAAACAAAGTTAAATGCGTAAACAAACAACTTCCAGTTTCAAAGCTGCAGCTAAGTGTCAAGTAGAACTGTGGCTTTGCAATAAACAACAGGAAAAGCTACTGAGAGGAGAATGTTACTGACATTAAGGACTAAATCACATCACTGTGACTCCTTATCTGTCCCTGTGTGGAGAAGGCTGGGACAGCAGCAGTCAACACACACCACTTCCAGCTGGGAAGAGGACACCTGCTGCTCCCCTCGGTCCAAGCCTGTGAGGCCACAGCACCACGGATTTGCTTCGGCCACAAAAGCCCCCTGAGCCTGCCAGCGAGCGCATGGACACCTCTGGCTGAGACAGACACCAAGCAGAAACCCCAGGCTATGCTCAGGGAGGTTTCCAGACCATGGCAGAGCGGGAATGGACCTGGACACAGCAGTAACGGCAGCGAGAACAGCGAGAGCACGGTCAGACACACAGGTCACTCGGCACAAAGGGCCCTGCCAGAGATCCTGGTGAAAATCTCCGGCTCCGGAGCAGCACATCCTGTCCAGTGAACCCACACTGATGGAAAGCAGTCCCACTAACCTTCTTATAAAGAAATAATGATCACAGAACTACAAAACATGACAGCTTGAGATATCCAGTCCTGCCTGTCTGAAGGACAAACAGAAAGAATCCCTGTAGGACAGGAAGGGTCCCACGTCACCAGCTCACCTGACATGTAAAGCTATCTATAACCCAGTCCCAAGTGTCTAAAACATGCTTGCTCTTAAAATTTACTGACAAAGGACTTTCCACCTGCAACTTCCTTGTCTTTAAACTCAGATTTTCATCATGTTACCTATTTTCCTGCAACTTAAACTGATTTCTGCCCCTTCTGCAGGGCTGACAGCAACCAGCTTCCCTGCTGTGGCCAGCCCAAGTTTCTCACCCCCTAGCCAAACCCTTCCACCATTCCTGACTCTGCTGTCCTCTTTCCAGAGTACCTAGAGCACAGCACTCAAAGCCAAATAGAACACTCTATCACAGGCCTTGGCAGCACTCAAATAATTACTGTGCCTTCTCCCCTCGTGTCCTTCACAGCATCTACCTATTAACACATCTCAGTAAGATAATAATGATCCATATTCAATTCCTTCTCCCTTGATTCTTTTCTGCAGCAGGGGTAATGAGTCAGTTATTCCCAAAATAGTATTGGTGCTTTTAAATTCTCCTCTTGAAGTGCAATGCTCTGCATTTCCCTGTCATCTTCCAATACTACTTCCTTGAGAATATCAAAATTATTCTGTTTGCCGATTCTGACCACTGATACACTTGCACAACATTCCTAAGCTTGGTGCCCTACCTAAATGTTATAAAGTGCATTCTCTGCTGCATTCTTGCTATCAAATATGAACTACATATGTAAACTGTATTTAAGACTGTAATGCATTCAGTGCACCACCTTGCACCTGCTAAAATATTGAGAACTATTGAGAATAGAAACAAACACCTTCACCTTATAGTCAAGACACTAAAAAAAAACCCCACAAAATGAAAGTACATGAATTATGTAGTTCTCTTTCACTTTTGCATAATGTGAAAACTCATGAGTGCCCCAGGATTCTTTAGTTCTTTGTCCACACTAAAGGTAAGTTAATGAAGAATAATGGATTTGAAAAATCTGGATTCACAGAGAAGCTCAACAGGGGCAGAGCACTGATCACAGGGGAAGAAAAATGACAGTTCTCTGAAGTCTGTTAAGGTCACTTTTCTGGATTTTTGTGAGCCCCTGTTTTTGGCATGAGATACATTCTGTAACAATGTGTTCCTCGGTAGGGAAAATGAATAGTTCCCTTCAAGGACTCATGCAGAAATACTAACAACAGGTGCCTAGGCTCTATTTTTATTGACCTATTAGAATGTAGAAATGCATTGATCAAAAGTCAGTATTTATGGAATTGGTTTTCATGATTATGGGCAGAACTTTTGTTCATATGCACAGACACTGGGTGCAAACACTCATCACACCCTGAAAAGTCACATTATGCACTCAGACCTCCTTAGGCGTATTTTATAACTCCCTGTATTTCACTTTCATTCTTCAGAAATTGTAAATAGTAACTTGCCCCTTCAACTTCCCATTAGAAACATCTGAGACCTTCGTAGATCACGTGGATCATAATTGCAAATGACTCCAGACAGAACTATCACCATGGCTCAGCTCATTGCAGACTAGGAGAAGCTGTGAGGCTCCTCATCCTCACTGCCCAACACACCCTTGACAGACACTCACCCAAACATCTCCTACAGCCAAGGACTGTCCTTTTTTAATACCCCCCACAAGAAAACATTACATTTAAATCTGTCTCTGAAGAACCATTTTTTCTTGGAGAGGCCTAAAAATGAATTCATGTTATTTTTTCAGCAGAGAGGAAATCCCAGAGGACAGAAGAGACAGAACGTAGGGAAGTCATGATGCAAGAGCAAAGTCCAGACTAGCATCTGATGTTAACACCCACTTCTGCAATTATCTAGTGCTGGAATCATAACCATGCATATGCATCTGGAAAAATTAACATGAACCTACATTATCATGCAACTGCCGGCCCAATTTCTGCATCAGAAGTCCTCAAAAAGAATAAACCTGGTACCTTTTGTGTTTTCACAGACTGCCTAATTAAATAAACATGCCTATGCCAACAAAGCCAGAACACTGTTCAGTACTCAGAAGTCAGCCACTGTGAACATTCAAGAGATTTCAAAATCGAGCTTTCAGTTGTAAGATGTGAAACAACCACATGAGGAAGCAAGAAGTGGGCTCATGTTCATGTACATGACTATAATATAAGTAAGCAGTAAAGACAAACACTGTGACTACATGGTAAAAAAGCAAGGTCAGATTTCCAGGCAGGCTCAGAGAAATCTGAAGGAATGCCCACAGAACGGGCTCTTTTTGCGAAGCCCAGAAGTGAGGGCTGCACACAGCCCGGCTGTGGTGCCTGACCCAGGGGAGACACTGCCGAGCCCCAGCAGCACCAGGGGAAGTGCCAGCTCCGGCTGTGCCCGTGCCCTGCCCAGGGGCAGCGAGCTGTGCCTGAGCCAGAGCCCCTGTGATTGCACAGCCCCACACCAGTGCCACACTGCTTATGCGCCATCGCAATTTACTCCGTGCTCAACAGACAGTAAAGCAGGTGTGGAACCTACCTGCTCTATGAACAGACCAGTCTACACATGAAAATGCCTTCTTGAAACAGTTGTTAACAAACACACATAAACCAAATGTACTCAGAAACAACTTTAAGGTGCAACTTACCAATCAGTAATACACCACCTTGTTCGAATGAAACCTTTTCTGGACCACTTGCACTGAAAAAGAAGTGAGTAAGAACCAATCACCTTAGGTAAAGAATACTGTGAAAGTGAAATGTACTGACACAAAGAACAAAATGAAGCAGAGCTCATCCATACATTATAACCAAGAAGCGCTGAACACAAACTGAGGTACCTTTAGAACAGATATTGTGTCCTTTATAAATCCTGGAATTAATTAGATTTTTGATCCTGCAGCAGTTACAAACTTATGTATAAAATTAATAAAAGCTCTGGCAGTTTTCAGATGAAAGGAACAGGAATAGGAAAGCTTTTCAGCTATATTTATGCTTAGCTTAAAGCAGCAAATTCTTATTGCCTATGCACAAATGTTTTCTTTGTAATTTTACCTGAACTGTAAAATGTCATCAGAGATTTACATCAAATTAAAATGAATGAGATCTGCTAGAAAGCTATTTCTCTTGCTGAGCTAAGCCACCCAATATTTCTATAAAAGTCAAGAATTTAAAGAGTGGTAAAAGATTCCATTCATCACACCTGCACCATCGGCAAGAAAGCCACAACTCAGCTTGGGTCCTTTCACTCACATACAAGAAGAGGTTTTCCAGCACCACTGCCACAATCTACAACCTTCCATAGAAGACACGATTCTGCATCCTATTTATTCCTTGTTAACAATGCATGTATGTCTGGGCTAATGTGCTCTGGGAATGAATATTGCACCACACAGGCCTAAATAATGGTGCCAAAGATTTTGTAGCAAAAGACTGTGATTCCTTATTGTGAATAAATTGCCCGTCCCAGAAGAGCATCCCCAGTCAGAGGTACCACTCTCCCAAACCTCTCCTGAGGCACTGGCCAGGTTTATTTATTCTCCTCTAAAAACAGACAGTTCTCAGTCCTAAATACTGCTGAGATAGTCAAGGGCCACAACAAACCAAACCAGGCTGACTTGAATCATAGACTCACAGACTGCCTTGGGTTGGAGGGGACCTTCACCTTGTTCCAGCTTCCCTGCTGTGGTCAGGGACATCTTCCAGTAGACAACGCTGCTCCAAGCCCTGTCCAACGTAGTCTGCATCTTCTGACCACCCCTCAGTGAAAAGGGACCCATCTCCCCCCCTTCTCCTTAGGCACAAGCACAGTGACTGCAGCCAAGACCAACCAGAAACAACATTATAATGATTGTATTTCAAATAATGATCTACTTTATTGCAAGATTTTTTTAACAGTGAAGAATTAGCCTCTTCTGCAGGTCCAGCAACCACTCCGGGGATGGCTGGCTGGGAAGCAAACACTCTGATCCTTCCTAACAGGATCCAAGGCTGGATCACAAATCCCACTATCCAGTAAGGTCTCTTCTGTGATGCTCATGAGGGCACAGTTACAAGTAGAGATGTCAACACTTATTCAGAAAGAAACCAATGGAAAAAAATTTAATGCTAAAAGCATTCAAAATTGGCACAAATTTAATCTTGATTTAAAAAGGGAGCTTTGCAATTTCCTTCTTAAAAATAACTACAGAGAACTTAAAATCAACTAGTCCAAGCCTATGATGCAGTCCAGGATAATGTTTTCAATCAGGTTGCCATTTCTCATTTGCTATTTTCCTCTCAGGCAAAATGGCAAAGGTACTTCAAACAATGCAACACCAAGACAGGCCCAACCAGATCATCTTGCTTAAGAGTCATACTCAGCTGGGTTTTGAGCATCTCCAAGAACAGCAATTCCATAACCTGTCTGGGCCCATCTCCTGCTGTTTAACCTCATGATGAAAGCTTTTTCCAGATTAAATCCGATTTCCCAGTCCTGCTCCTGCAGAGCCTCAGGGGCAGCTGTCCTCTGAGTCTGTCCCCTCCCTCTCCTGAGGCACAGAAAGGCTCTCTGCTCTCTGCCACAGCCCTGGTCCAACCCCACAACTGGAGCTCTGACACCTCCCTATAGAAGTCCTCACCAAAAAATACAGTTTTTAAAATCACACTTTGAGAACTGGTAGTTACATTCTGCCAGCTTTTCCTTTGTGAATAGAGTCCCTGAGGAGATTGTGCTGACCTTTTAAAACCCCCCAGAACCACCACCTACATAAATAACCCCTGCTACATTGGGGGAAAGGACCTCCAGGCAGCATTAACATGAAGAGAGAGGTTAGAGAGGGCTAATGTCAAAAAGCACTGTGAGCAATAAGTAATGCACACAAACCATGATTGATAATGACCAGCACAGAGCCTTAATTCATCTTTTCTCCATCATTTTACTGAGGGGGACCATATCAAATTAAATAGTGACCCAGAAAGGGTTTATTCAACCATACAATGCAGGGCATGAAGGAAAGACATATTAAAGTGGTGATGACTGCAGTGTAATTGCAGCTCCTTAAAGGAACACCACAGCTCAGAGGGAAACCTGAAACAGGAATCAGCCAAATACTGGCGGCAAGAGCAGCCAAGGTACTGAGCAATACCCAGCACTGACAAGGCTTCCTTGCCCTGGTGAGAACTCCTCAGAGCCTTCCACAGGAGTCCGTGTCCCCCGTGCTCACGACATGCTCAGCGTTTCACTAGACAGGAAAGAGAGCTGAATTATGGCAAATGAAAACAATGAAAACAATGCAGAACGTGGTTCCTACCTGAAAATCCTTCATTTCTTCTCTTAGAACTACTTGAAGCCAGCAGCTCCATAACGCTCCCGACTGAGTCATTGCCAAAAAGCAACAAGTGGTGGACAGAGCCACGAGGGTTTGGGCCTTTTACCTGGCCCAAA